GTTGGTGTGCAGAGGCCTTAATGGGACACTGCCTCCTTATATCCGTTGTGTCACTGGGAGGGCTGGAGAGTTGCGTAGGGCTCTATAAATCCAATAGATGATTCATGTGAACGGTATCCGTAAGGGTGACTAAAACAAAGGTTTCTTTTCGCTACTTCCAGATGGCGCAGCCTACTGTATGGGACGTTTGAACTCTGACTGCTGGTAAGTAACTCTGCTGACTTTATCCTTGAAACATTTGGTTTCTTTCTCAATAAAAAGGCAAATAAACAACAAAAAACACTTGTATTGCTTTTTCTGTAGATTTTAACACATTATCTCAAGAGTATATGTGACAATTCATGAACAAACTCTGACCACCTTAACCACAGTGGTGTAATATCAGAAAACAGTTGTTGAATCTCAGCTAATAGCTATTGAAGTGTTATAAATGCTCTAAACTCTCTGTAGGTGGACTATCTAAATAAAGAGTTGCATAAATGAAAAGGCTGCTGATTTGTAGAGTCTTCTGTTGCACAACAATAACCGCAGCAGGATATTGCTACATGACCTCTTGATTTAAGCTAATCAGATAATTGTTCAAAAAGATTAAGTCTGTCCTCAGGGTTTAGTCTTGTCATGGTTAAACTATTTGGTAACAGGCTCAAATAACCGTTGAGTGCCCGTCTCCCTCAGGTACCTGTTTACCCTGGACTTACCAGAGTACTGGGAGAACAAGCATGCGGATCAGACGCTGGAAGTTCTGATGAGTGACCTCGATCCAGCCATTATGGACCAGTTCTATATGAAAGATGGTGTTTCTGCAAGTGATGTCACTCGTGTAAGTAGATGCCATCTGCATCCATGTGTTTGTCTCAGCAGTGATCAGCATATGTAGGCCCTCCGGAAGGATGGAAGAGCTTTGTTGGAGAATCTGGTCTAGGCTGGACACAAAGGATGTAGAAATTGCAACTTTATGTTGACGCTGTTTTGTTCTCCTTTCGCTGCAGATGAGTGGAATTCGTGACCTGATACCAGGTTCTGTGATCGATGCCACAATGTTCAACCCTTGTGGATACTCAATGAATGGAATGAAGACTGACGTGAGTGTCTCTTTAATTTGATCTGTCGTTGCCAACGTCTTAAACATTCCTGTAACATGGCTCTGCTTGACTTCCTGCAGGGTACTTACTGGACCATCCACATCACCCCAGAGCCGGAGTTCTCCTACGTCAGCTTCGAAACCAACCTCTCCCAGACATCGTACGACGATCTGGTCAGGAAGGTGGTGGAGGTGTTCAAGCCAGGAAAATTTGTGACTACGCTTTTTGTCAATCAGGTTTGCTTTTAAAACACAAGCTTGCTTTTCATTCAGTGTGATTTTTATTTTTTTCGATTTGTCACTGAGTCAATTCTCTGTTTTGCCCCTTGCAGAGCTCCAAATGTCGCAGTGTCTTTTCTTCTGCCCAGAAACTCGAGGGCTACAAGCGTCTCGACCGCCAGTTGGCTCAGTTCAACGACTACAATTTTGTCTTCACAAGCTACGCCCAGAACCGCCAGCAGAACCAGCAGAGCTGAGGGTTGAGGATGAAGAGGCGTAAAAAGAAAGGCGGCTGCTCAGGGCTCCCCCCCTGCGGCCGGCTTCACCCCCCAATAGAGAGCTCGTCGTCATCCCTCCTCCCCCCCTTCTGCTGCTGCCGTCGTCCAGAATCTGCCGGTGCCGACACGGTCGCGAGCCCTAGTTTAACCTCCAGTTTGAGTTGTTTGCGTTGTTGTACCTGTGACTTAGATCTCTTGCATGAAAGCTCTTTTCTCTGTTTCGATATTCTAGCTCACTCTTGCTGTGATCTTGAAGTGCATGTAGAGGAATTAAACACGCTCTGTTTGAGGCTGTCCACCTGTGCCCAGTACGACGGCCCCTTCCTGCAGGTGTCCCCTCTCATCCCCCACAGACAAGGCTTCCGCCCGCACTAGGCCAGGGCCCTGACATGCTCAGACCAGTATGCCTCTTTATGAGCGCAGCCTGTCCACTTTTTTTTTTGTGTTTTGTTATTTCAAACCCGCCACCCGTCTCCATCTAATTTGCCCTCCAATGTGACAGTTGGTATATATGAATCTCTAACGATTTTTGAGTGCACTTTAAAAACCTGTTTACTCGTGGTACATAAAAAAAGGCCGACCTTCCGTCTCGAGCCTGATTGAATGTATAAGTCGTGGTAAGCCTTTGGCCGTTGTAGTAGTCATCGCATTGTTTGAAAACGAACGCCATACTTGCTGTTTAATGTCGCACTATTCGATAAAAGGCGTGCAGCTTATTGGTCGATGTGGTCTCTGGTTGCTGCAAACTGCAGTAAAGCAGAAGACTTTGCTGGGCTTCGAATTGGACTCCCAACACCAGCATTCATTCATTTGTGCTCCTCCACCTCGACAATCATAGTCCTTGTTTCCCCAAATAGACAGGCTATTAAAGTTGTATGCCTGGACATGAATCATTTAAGACACTTGTCATGCGCACTTTGTTGGCTTCTTTTTGTACAGCGTGCTGTATGTATGGGAAGCTTCCATCCTATATACCCCCCCCAGTCATATTCAGTCTAATTTTCCACATTCATAACCAATTGGTTACATGGGAAAATGTTCAAACTGAATGTAGCACAGGCCGTGTAAAGCAGCGGTCTACCCTCCCCCTCCCTCCCCCGTCTTTCGAATGTACACGTCTCTAGAGAAAAGCCTGGACCGGGTTTTGAGCTGAATGTACGACTCCAGGAGAGCACACTCACCCTCCTCTTCCCTCACACGCACACAGAGCTCACAATGACCTCTGTCGAGCAGCCATTGTCCAGCTTGCAGCAGCCCCCCTCCCCTGCCAGAGTCAGACTGTCAGCTGGCCCCAGAACCGTGACATGACGAGAGGCGGCCCTCCTGGCTGCGCCCGCTCTGAATGGGGAAATAATGAATCAGACACTTTTTGCTTAGTTGCCCAGCAAAGCATTTTTCTTCTTCCAACATAATATCCATCCTCTCTCTGTCTCTTTCCGCCCCATACAGAAATCTGTAAGCACACAATAGAGGCCCACCAGTCTGAGCATGCCAGGGTGATCCCGGATCATTCCACATGTAACCGCTGCATAAACTGCCATTTTATTAAATTTATTGTGCCCAGACATTTTTTGCAGTGAATTGGTCGAAAATGTGACTCCCCCAGCAGTTTTCTTTTTTTGTTTTTGTTTGGATCAATGGCCTTTGTTCATCGAGAGGGGGGGTGGGGGGAATCCTGTGACACTATGGTGCATGTGACTACTCGTGCCGTGTTGCTTGACAGTGTAGTATAGCGCCGTCTCTTCCTCCTTTTGTCTATAGGTCTGTGCTTCACCTTCCTCTTGTTTTACCAGCTGAAAGCATAGTTGCAACTGCCGCATCCTGATGTGTTTTGGATAGGCGGGGACTTTTTCTTTTTTTTATATATACCTTTTTAGGGGTTGGGTCAACTTGTAATTAATTCTTTCAAGTTCCAAAAAGCGTTGAAAGCCGGTTAGGTTTCTCATTTATGACTTCACGAAACCTTTTTGTCAAACGTCCAAGCTCCGTCCTCTCCGCCGGTTCAGCTCAGCGACTGTTCGCAATGCTTCTCCTGCCAGAGAATGCAGTTGGAGTTTTGAACCGGAGAAGACGCGGCGGGGAGCCCTAGCCTGCTTTCAGCCCTTCTGCGGTGCAGTACAATCTGTGTCTCTGAAATACCTGCGATAATTGCATCGGCACATATAGCGGCACATTTATCACCTAAGGCAGCACGCAAGCCGGTTGGAGCAGGTCACGTGAGAACGAGCAGTGACGTTGACGCCGGAATAGTTTCCCTCTAGTTTGTCTGTCATGACGTTTTGGAGTGGCTTCATTCTTTTCCTGAGGACCAATCTCTGCCCTTACATGACCTGCTCTCAACTTCCTGTCAGATGACTTGGGTGACCGACTGTTATCGGTCCTCTTTTTGAAGTCGCACATTGAGGGGATTTCAAGTTTAATGCTAACTGTTCTTGGATTAAGTACATTTTAGCCTCGTTGGTGTGGATCATTGCTACTTTGTTTTTATTTTTTATACAGTGAACTCAAAATGCATTTTTGCAGTTGAATGGTAATAGAATTTTATACAAAAAATATTTTGTATTTTTGCTGCGGACCAATATTCTTTTTTTTTTTCTTTTTTTTTTTCTTCCCCTTTTGTCCAAATGTTCATTTTGTTGTAAAACCACTGTTGTTCTGATGTTAAGGGATGACCTTTTCAAAGCTGACTAAATCATGTTTGTCTTTTATTTTTTTTTCACTCTCCCTTCTTCTGTGAATCCTCTGTAAGACTGCAGAGGAAGGGACAGTGAAAGCCTCCCCCGGGTGACAGAGGGTGCAGTTGCAGGATGTATCAGGATGTACTGAAGGAGAAACTTTGCTGTTCTAATTCTTTCTTTTTGCTGTTCTTTGGATGGTCAAGATGTGCTAAATATATCTGTGCTACAAGCTTGATGCTTCAATAAAAGATGCTTATCTGTGCAGCGCCTGGGTTCTTTATTTGACGTCTTTTTGTCCCGACCGTTGAGGCACAACAATTGTGAAATGACAACTCTATTGAGCCCAAAGCACAACAGCTCATCAATACAATAGAGACCTTTCAAGAGGACACTGTCGAAGTTATCGCACAGTCACTAACCAATAAGTGGTAATCTAAGAGTCTACTTGTCTATTAAATAATAGACATTAATCCTAATATTAAGGCAGACAATTAACCTTATTTCATTCAGTAACGCACACCACAATTCATATTTTATTCAGTAATAAACGCCACAATGAGCCGTGTCTGTAGACGGAAAGCTGAACCCACCTATACATCAGCAAGTAATGAGCTTACGCTAGATTGTCTCTTAAAGGGGAACTCCAGTGATTTGGGACTGGAACCGGAAAGCGTCTACCTTCCTTGGCAACTGAATGGCCAGCTCTTAAACTAATGCAGGGTTTTTGTTAAAGGACCATTGTGTAAGATTTAGTGCCATCTAGCAGTGTAGTTGTAGATCATAATTCCCTCGCTTCACCCTCCCCTTTCAAGCGCAAAGCAGAAACTATGGTGGCTGCGAAACGCACGGAAAATGCTAATGGTCCTATCTAGAGCCAGTGTTTGGTGACATCATCAGGGTTATTTTTTAGAATCCAGATCCACAGGAGATCTTACACAACTGTTTTTATAGTACTCTACATGACTTAATAACCCATTGATGTCCACAGTGGAATTTTATAATTTCATTTAGAGCACTTAAAGCACCAGCGGAGCTAAGCACAAATCTAATTTTCATTGTGTGTAAAAATATGATGCTACAGCGCACATTCTCCTTCACTAGGGGTTGCTTTTTTGGATCTTTTAGTATTTTCATTGTGCAGACTTTAGAGTAGTGGTTCCCAACCTGTGGGTCGGGACCCCTATTAGTTTCATAGGGGGTTGCAAGGCCTTCAAGATTTTAATGTGTGTAAAAACATTTGAAATATATACAGAGTAGGCCTATATCTCAATTGGTTCACTTCTGGGAAGAAAAGTAACGTAAAGTAAATTGTTAAAAGAACAATGGCCAAACATCAGGGACAAGAAAATAAGGACAGAATTGTTTAAAAAGTTCCCTAAACAGGAAATAATCCTCTTCTTTATTCAAATCACTCATTTTACACAAAGTTCTTGCAGTTACTGAGTTCACTGTTTGGGTTCATTCTACAGTTTTGAATATAATATGAAATATCTATAAAATGAGTCAGTTTACTAAATGATAGAAAAGGAAAGGGGTGCTATGTGAGATTTTGAGGCCAAATATACAGTAGGAGTACAACAAAATGGAAGCTGTTGAACAAAACTTACTTGTGAAACACAGTTAATCAGGACTGCCAGCTGGTTTGGTTTCACAGACTGCTGCAGAGAAGCATGATGCTGCCATTCACAATGAGGATGCTGTGTTTATGATGTTCACTGTAACATGGTATCAGTGTTGATTTCTCATCAGAACGTAGACGCTTCTTCCAGCTGACTGCAGAGTCTCCCATATGCCCTGAGGGAGACAGGAGCTGGGTACCACCGGCAGTACGTGGAAAATGTGAAGTGATCTGACTGTGGATCAAAAGGGCAACAAAGGGGTTTTACTCAGTTTTTGAAGAGGCTGATTTGCTGTATATGTACAGGAATCATTTGTGTTGTAGTGTTATTGTTATCAAACAGACATATATGCATTTAAAACAAAAGCCCTGAAAGACAAGTATCTTGAGTTGCACAGCTGAGAGCAGATATTCCTCCTCTGGCCACTTAGGTCCGTCGATTCAAACGTGTTCAGGAGGAAAACAGATGTGTGTGAGCTCCTATTTCTACTTTTCACTTTCTTGGCTTAAAAAAAATCTGGTGATCAATATTTCCAATGATCAAAAACTAGAATGGTTGTTGAGTTTTGTTGTTTAAGTTTGCAAAATCCTGGAAAATAAGGCAAGATGGACTGTTGTAATTAGCATTTCCATTAATCTATCCAGTAGGCCTACTACATTGCAAATGTTTTTCATGACTTGGGATTTCTAAGTAAATTAACCCTTTATAGAGAGTTGTGATGGGTCACAAGCCATATCTTTAGATTGTATTCTATAAACTTATCTACGGAAGCCAAGAATGGCCTTGCTTGAAATTAGTTTTTTAATGTCGTTATCCCGAGATCACAAGTTATTTATTTTGTTATCTTGAGAAAATGAGCTTTGTTATCATGGAAATATGAGATAATAAACCCGTTATCATGAGAGAACCAAAGGTGGTTTCCTCTTATTACTGATAATGTTTATCAGAGTTCAGGAGTGCCAAGCTAGCACGCACAGATGGCATATTATAGATGTAGCTTTGGTTCACCGTAACGGACAACGCACGGAGGAATGACATGCAATTTGCTAGTAGATTGCTCATGGTGGAAACTGTTGGGTTGGTGGTGAGTTTGGTCTGGACCTGCTCTATTTGAAAGGTGTCGCTGAGATATTCTTTATGAATTGGCGTATACAATAAACATTGGAATTGAATTGAATTGAATTGAAAGCAGCCAGGAAAAAAAGTGCATTGAAAAGAATCCTTGAGCTATATTTAAGTAATCTTTTATTGGACCAGGATAAGTCAGTTGAGAACCAATTCTTAAAAAAAAAGACTTTTATTTATTGTATAATTATCATGTTTTATCTATTATATTGGTATTGTTGGTTTTACAATATATTAGTAATGGCAAGTCAATACAACAATTAAAACATACATACAGCTAATGCAAAAAACAATACAGCTAGAGTTTAAAAAAAAACTACTTGTATGCTGTTTAATGTAGACTCTTAATCTGAAAAGTAACTAGTAAGTGTATGTGTTAGATAAATGTAGTAGAGTAAAAAAGACAGTGTTTCTCTCTGAATTCAATGGGAGACATTTTAAAATAAATAATCCCTTACAGAGAAAATACATAACCATGAAATATTTAATAATAATTTAACTAATTATAATTGCATTATGGGAAGTGTAGGATTCAGTGTTTTGGGAGTTCCACCCATACTACAGACTCAAAGTCAGGATCAGCTCAGCATCTATGGTTTCAATTTTGATCATTCTTTTTTTTAATCTCTGTATTGTACGTGTCCCAACTTTGGAGTTTACACAGCTGAAACATGCAAATGTTTGGTTTTCACTTTAAGAAACATCCATTGACCTTGGTTTGGGGGAAATAAAGGCTGGGCGCCCTTCTTTCTGCTCTGAAGAAAAAACAGCAAATAAAATCAGAAAGTACATCTGTACTATTTTTGGGTTGATTTATCAAAAACAAAGGAAGGAAGCAAAAATGGAGATAAGTTCTTTTTTACTCAGTGGTGGAAAAAGAACTCAGATCTTGTACGTAGTAAAAGGGTGAAACTACTCCACAGCAAAAGCATTTAAAACCTTACTTAAGTTGAAGGACAGAAGTATTTGCAGTAAAATGTACTTAAGTATCAAGAGTAACTGTACTCATTAGGCAGGAGTCAATAGATTAGTCTGTGTGCAGCATTTTATGCTGTAGCTGGTCAAAATGTCTTTTTATACTGTTAGGTAGTTTAATCTATAGCAGTTCATCTATAATGTATGATATTTTATCACCTGAGTACAATACAGTTTTTGTATGTAAAACCGTCAAACTGCAGAGGATAAACAGCTCAATATTTGCCACTGACGTGTAGAGGAGAACATGTATAAACTGGCAAACAGTTAAATATATTTACAAGTACTTCAAAACTGGACTTAAGTACTCTATTTGAATGGATATATTTACACTTTCCACCACTGCCAATGACCTGAGCTGTCAGTCAGTCACTTAAGTATCACTCAATGATAGAAACCACCTTTCACCTTATTAAGACACCGTCACTGTGGTCACTGTCATGTGGGAGGACCTGCTACCACCTGGTGGACAGTGAGTGTACTGATATACTCTCAGTGAAATTAGCATCTAGTATCAAAGAGTGATTTTAAAGAATGAAACACTCATAATACCGGACAGCAGGGATCTCAAACTGCCAGCCTGGGCTCCATTTCCAGCCCTGCCTCTGGGACATGATTTAAAAAATATCATATAATCTGGCCCACAATTGTGAAAAAATTATATATTTTTTTATATATATATAAAATATATATATTTTTCCATTTAAATGACAAATTCATATATAATTACAAACAACACAATGTATTCTGTTTGGCACGAAATAGTGGCAAATACAGGTCAAAGGTGTCTAGAGCAGGTTCTGGGCCTTCATTTGTTGTTTGGCTGTGAACAACAAAGATAATATAAAATGATGATATAAAAATGTAAAGCTACGGCTGTTTGCATTTTTAAAAGTATGATATTAGTAATGGAAATATTTTCAGAACATTAAGTCAGTATTGTCCTCTACCTCCTATGAGATGACAATACCAGCAGTGGCCCCAAGTCAGTTTGACTTTGAGACCCCTGCCTTACAGCCTCCTCAAATATAAAGGAATTATAAGGGCAGGGAGAGATTTGTGGCAGAAGAAGTGGGACACAGATATCAAAGGAAAATCAATTAAGGTGAAGGTTTCCAAAGGGAAGTGTAGAAGAGAGGAAGTGGTTTGGTCAAGATTAAGAAGAGAACATGCTGGATTAAAATCAAAGTGCATTATATGGGAACCCCTGATGTTACACACTCCTGTACAGTAGGTGGCGGTATGAACCTTTTTCAGGTTGGTTCACAACCGACATTAAAATCAGAGGAAAGAAGAAGAAGAAAAAGGAAAAGAAGAAGAAGAAGTAAAAGTAAGTATCTGGTTATTTTAGCCTGTAGCTCCCCTAGTGGGCAGCCTGTGCTGTGTAGTTTTGACACTAGAGGGCGGTAATTCTCTTGAAGCAGGATATCGACCGCCGCTCAACCAAAGAAGAAGAAAAGTACCAATGTTGTCTTCCGCCGCTTGGCTTCACGTGTAAGAAGAAGAGCAGCGTGAGTGCTGTGAGTGGCAGGGACACGAAGAAAGACAGAAAAATGACGCAGTTAGACGGTGTAGTGTAAGTGTGACCTTTCATTTATGGGACCTCACTGTGTTTAAGCGTCTGTGTTTGTTTCCCACAGAGTTAGCTAACTGCTTCAGTGCTTGTGAAACTAACTTTAATAAGGATGCTAACGTTAGCCTAGCATAACGTTTGTCAGCTACCATTAGCTTAGTGTATGGACAGAAAGACGTGTTTATTATTATGTAATAGTTGAATTTATCAGGACTGCTCGTTATCTGTATTCAATGAGAACAACAATGTAAGGCTGTCAGTTATAAACAATATGTGCACACAGTGGACACTATTTACTCAAGGTGCTCACAAGACATCAAAGATACAGAAATAATAATAAGAAAAAATATATATCCTCTTACAATATCTAACAATTATATATTATATATATATATATAGAAATAGAAGTAGAGTCTGAAGTATGTACATTATAGGTGTATTAACCCCAGTAACATTTCAAACTAGTGGTGGTGTTGTACAGGACTTTATAATAGATAGGTGTTTGTTATATTCTGCCTCCCCTTTGTATGTTGACAGCCTCTTGTTTGGATCTGTTTTGTATTTTCTGTAGTAGCAGTTTGTCATCTCCCCCTGTGTTTGTGTGTATCCTCAGAAAACCAAAGACAAAGCGCTCCAAGCGCTTCTTGGACAACAGAGCCCCCAAGCTGATTGAGGATGTGAAGACTGCCATGATAATGAAAGGGGGGAACACCAGTCAGACCATCACCCAGGCCCTCAAGGACATAGTAAGTAACCTGATCAGGGCTGCACAATGAATGGAAATATTACCGGAATTGCAATATTCAAATCACAGAAGCTGCCGTTTTTGGATAAAGATAAAATGCATGATAAACAGTAGTAAGCACTGTAGTGCTGCAGAGGTGTCCTGGCCTACATATTAGTGATAGACCGATATGGATTTTTAAGGGCCGATGCCGATACCGATCTTTTTTCACCAGCCTTAGCCGATACCGATACGGACTGCCGATTTTCTTGAGCCGATATTTGGAGCCGATACTA